AGACGAATGGTACTTGGGACCTGACGATCTGTTGGAGTGTGAGCAGGGTAATATTTAGTGAAGGGATTCAGGGAAACCGGTTATTTTCATATAGTCGGACTTGAGTCCTGGAAATGGGAAGTACAATGCCTGCACTTTAAAGGAGGGGTTTGGGATATTGGCAGTTTGGAGGGATATGTTGTGTATCTTAATATGTGTATGCTTCTAAACTGTTGTATTCTGAGCACCTCTGCAAAAACATGATAATGTGTGAGTGTGGTGAAAGTGTTGAATGATGATGAAAGTATTTTCTTTTTGTGGAATTTCTTTCTTTTTTTCCTCTGGTCACCTGCTCTGTTCGTATTGACTTTTGAAAAAAAAAAAAAAAAAAAAAAAATATAATATATATATAGCTACTATAAACACTATATATATATTTATATATTTGGATAGAGTCCTTACATGACAGTAACATAGCTTCCCTCTCACCTTCCATTGGATCAATCCATGAGGTTATAACACTAAGCATACTACACGACATGAATTTATAATTTCTGTATTCTAAGTCCCTTTAGCAGATAAGCAGCATAGTCTGTCTCTCTCACCTGTTCTCGATTTTCTTTTTTTCCTCTTCTGTGTTTTCTGTGTTCTTGAACATTGTCTAAGACATAATTACCGTCTTTGTCACTGTGTTAGCATGGAGTCTTCATGTTGCTGATCTTCATTTTGCTACGTCATTTTGCAAGTTTGCCTATCTTCAGTGTTTTCGGAGTCTTGCATTTTGCTGAGTCTTGCAGTGTTGCTGGAAGTCTTGCAAGTGTTCGCTGGAGTCTTGCAGTGTTGCTGAGTCTTGCAAGTGTTGCTGGAGTCTTGCAGTGTTTGCTAGGAGTCGTGCAGTGTTTGCAGGAGTCTTGCAGTGTTGCTGGAGTCTTGCAGTGTTGCTGGAGTCTTGCAGTGTTGCTGGAGTCTTGCAGTGTTGCTGGAGTCTTGCAGTGTTGCTGGAGTCTTGCAGTGTTGCAGGAGTCGTGCAGTGTTGCAGGAGTCTTGCAGTGTTGCTGGAGTCTTGCAGTGTTGCATGGAGTCTTGCAGTGTTGCAGGAGTCGTGCAGTGTTGCAGGAGTCTTGCATTGTTGCTGGAGTCTTGCAGTGTTGCAGGAGTCTTGCAGTGTTGCAGGAGTCTTGCAGTGTTGCAGGAGTCGTGCAGTGTTGCAGGAGTCTTGCAGTGTTGCAGGAGTCTTGCAGTGTTGCAGGAGTCTTGCAGTGTTGCAGGAGTCTTGCAGTGTTGCAGGAGTCTTGCAGTGTTGCAGGAGTCTTGCAGTGTTGCAGGAGCTGTGCAGTGTTGCAGGAGTCTTGCAGTGTTGCAGGAGTCTTGCAGTGTTGCAGGAGTCTTGCAGTGTTGCAGGAGTCGTGCGGTGTTGCAGGAGTCGTGCATGTTGCAGGAGTCTTGCAGTGTTGCAGGAGTCTGCAGTGTTTGCAGGAGTCGTGCAGTGTTGCAGGAGTCTTGCAGTGTTGCAGGAGTCATTGCATTTTGCAGGAGTCTTGCGATGTTTCAGGAGCTCGTGCAGTGTTGCAGGAGTCTTGCAGATGTTGCAGGAGTCTTGCAGGTTGCAGGAGTCTTGCAGTGTTGCTGGAGTCATGCAATGTTGCAGGAGTCTTGCAGTGTTGCAGGAGCTGTGCAGTGTTGCAGGAGTGTGCAGTGTTTCAGGAGTCGTACGGTGTTGCAGGAGTCGTGCAGTGTTGCAGGAGTCGTGCAGTGTTGCAGGAGTCTTGCAGTGTTTCAGGAGTCGTGCGGTGTTTCAGGAGTCTTGCAGTGTTGCAGGAGTCTTGCAGTGTTGCAGGAGTATTAGTGTTTCAGGAGTCGTCGGTGTTCAGGAGTCGTGCAGTGTTGCAGGAGTTTCAGTGCGCAGTGTTGCATGAGCCGTTGCAGTGTTGCAGGAACCATGCAATGTTGCAGGAGTCTTGCAGTGTTGCAGGAGCTGTGCAGTGTTGCAGGAGTGTGCAGTGTTTCAGGAGTCGTACGGTGTTGCAGGAGTCGTGCAGTGTTGCAGGAGCTGTGCAGTGTTGCAGGAGTCTTGCAGTGTTTCAGGAGTCGTGCGGTGTTTCAGGAGTCTTGCAGTGTTGCAGGAGCTGTGCAGTGTTGCAGGAGTCTTGCAGTGTTGCAGGAACCATGCAGTGTTGCATGAGCCGTGCAGTGTTGCAGGATCCATGCAGTGTTGCAGGAGCCGTGCAGTGTTGCAGGAGCCGTGCAGTGTTGCAGGAGTGTGCAGTGTTTCAGGAGTCGTGCAGTGTTGCAGGAACCGTGCAGTGTTGCAGGAGTCGTGCATTTGCATGGGAGGAGACGCCAGCAGCACTAATGAGCCACCAGGGGTTGTAATGGCCCTGTTAACGACCCTGTTAGCAGACCTCCTATTGGCTGATTACTAATGTACTCTCAAAAGAGTTTTCCCAAACTGACCTCTTAAAAATCTTTACCCAGGGATCGTGTAATGTAGGCTGTGTGGAGGTGAGGCGTTCAGGGAACG